GTTGTGCATAAATTTTGTAGAAATATTGCATTGATTCCATTTGCTTTGTAAGTATTGGTGTTTGGATTTAAGTTGGCACTTTACAATAGTAATATTAATTTTTTTTATAACCTTACAAAGAATATATTGCTATCTTCTGACTTACTATGTCAGTTTACAAAACATACCTTCCATCGATAGTGGTAAACAATCATCTTTCATAAGTTCTCTTTTCACTAAGTATAATGTTTACTAAGAATTTTTATAAATGGACATAAATGTAGGACCTTACAAATGAGGAATCAGTCAAAATTATTAATGACTATTCACCTAACTTTAATAAAAAAGACACTGAACTGGATTATTTAAATGACATTACTTATATTGAATCTAAAACAACACTATCTCTTGATCATCTTGATAAATCTATTTTTTATGACAATTCTGTACCATCTTTAGAAGCTAATAGTTATATAGCTTCACAATTATACAACACAACGGATAGAGATGAATTGGATCAAGGTGAATTGGATCAAGGTGAATTGGATCAAGGTGAATTGGATCAAGGTGAATTGGATCAAGGTGAATTGGATAAAGGTGAATTGGATGAAGATAAGTCGGATAATGAATCATGTTTGGAATTAGTAGTTGGACTTTCATTTTTAAGTTGGGACTCTTTTAAAGTTTGGCTCAATCGTTTTGCGTTACAGAAGGGTTTGCTTACAAAATTAGAACTAATGAAAGAGATGATAAAGGAATAGTTTGAAGAGCAACTTATGTGTATACAAAATCCAGCACTCATGACCCAAATGTGATATTTGACTCTACCAAACATCGTAATGCTAAGTCTCAAAGAACTAAATGTTCTTGGAAATTATGCATTACATATCCAAAAACAATAGCACAAGTAAAAATTAATTCATTTGAAAATTTTCATAATCATACACTTACCCCTATGATTAATGAGATTGCTACACAATTTCGCAAGTTGACTTCTGATATATTATCAGATATTTAGAAATATGTAATTCAAGGCAGGATGGATTCAGGGTCGATTTATCCTTTACTTCGACATGATTATCCCAACCATTCCTTAAATAAATATGATTTATACAATGCTGTGTATAATTTTTGATGACAACATAATCCTGGTGATTCTGACGCTTCTTTAATGCTTCAAACATTATTAAAATGGAAGGAGGAAAACCCATTATGGGTAGTTGCACCACATATTGAGACAGTATCAAGAAAGCTAAATTCTTTATTATGGCTTTCTCCAGCACAAAGGTCCCTTTATGAGCAGTTTCATGATGTGGTAATTATGGATACAACTGCAAATACGAACCAATTCCAGATGATGCTTTTTATTGTTGCCATAATAGATAATAATTTTAGAACAAGGATTGTAGCTAGTTGCATCATTGAAGATGAAACATTGGATACTTTTAAGTGGATTTATGAAACACTGCTTGAGAAAACTAGTGTTATTCCTATGGTAATATTTACCAATAGTAATCCCACAATGATAAATGCAATTAAGTTAGTATATCCCACCACCAGTCATATGTTATGCATATTTCACATAGATATGAACCTTAAAAAAAAATTAAAATGAAAATTAGGCTCTCAATTTGCGTTATTTCATTCTGATTTTTATACCTGCCGTAATAGTTTATGTGTAAACCTTTTTGAAGCTCGCTGGACAAAACTATTGGCTGATTATCCAACTGTAACAAAGTATTTAACTGATACACTTTACTGTACTAAAGAGTCATGGGCAGTTCCATGAATCTACAAACAATTTACTGGAGGGATACAAAGCACACAGAGAGTCGAATCTATTAATATGCATATACACAAAAAAGTTGATCATGTGACCTCACTGTATAATTTATTAATTAATTTTAAAGATTATGAAAATCAAGAAGAACATTTGATAAAATTTGAGATTCAGCGCAATATGCTTCTATCTGTTGGTTTACTAATGTTAAATAGCCGTTTTTTCAGTCAAGTTGACAATATATTAAAGAAATTTCTTACACCAATTATGCTTGGTAAACAGAGGGATCAAATGAATGCAAGTGTCTGCTATGATGTTATACAAGTTTATAATTGGCATAGTTTAATTGAGGTAAGGATTCATAACTAATATGTAGATTTGATACTATCTTAATTTATTTATTATTATTTTCACAGAAAGACGTTGATAATAAAGAAATCAGGCTTTGGATTAGAGAACAGGATTACGACACAAGACAAATTTTATTTACATCTTTAATTGAATTAATATCAGAAGAAATGATTACTCAAGTCTGGCATGTTCGTGCTACTGGAACTATAGGGCATGATCATTATGTAATACTCCTTAAAGATGATACACATTTATGTACCTGTCTTCTTTTAATAAATAAAGGTTTAATTTGCTGTCATTTTTTTCGAGTTGGTACATATTCAACATTGGCAAAATTTCATATAAATCTTATTCCAAGCCACTGGTACTTAGATCCTAATATTACTCCAAATGACCTTTTTCTTCAAATGCCTGCGATTTCTATTTCTGTGCCTGTTCAACAAGAACCTATGGTTGATTTAAATTTAACATTTAATCAGCTTATTACAATTCGATCTAATATTGATAAATCTAACTCTAAATGAAAGCCATCCAAGACAATTTATGTGGAACTATTTGGAGTATCCAAAAAAGTAGTTGATGTTGCGATTAAAGCTAATGCTTACAAAGAATTATCTGAGGTTTTAAAAAACTTTCTTTGTGAAACACAAAGCAAAGTAAATGATCAGCAACAAGATATAGATAGTATTAATGTTATTAATCCATTTATCACAAAACACAAAGGATGTCCTCCTAAAAGATTTAAATCTGCTGTTAAGTCTAAAGAAAAGTATCCATTAAAAAATAGTACACAACTTAATATAGTTAATAAAAATCCTAATGAAGATAAAAAGAGTTTAAATTTTAATAAAGGTCAGAAGTGCAGTAAATGTGGTCAAGCAGATCATTATGCTAAAACTTGTACAAAAAATGAATAATCTTATATATGCAGCCAAAGTTGGTCTTTAATTAAATTTAATTAGTAGATGTGATCAGATATTATGCTAATAATTATTGTCTACATATTGGTATTACTATATTGTGAATTTACTCAATCAATTAACTTATTTATTATATCTAGCTATTGTATAAAAAGTTCACATTTCCGTAATTATATGCACTATATTTCATTAGTTAAAAATAAACTACAAGTTGATAATACATTTTCTATTAGAAAGTAATAGGACTAAGATAGTATTCAGTTTAATAATTAGGGTTAGAAAGCGTCAGTATTGTGTATTAAGTTTACAAGTTATTGTTATATCTTGAAGGTATTGGCTAATTCAATTAGCTAATTTGTGTTACACAAATTATGTAAATATACCTCGTGTACAAACACCCCATGTACAAATAGAAATCACCTTAAAAAAAAGGTAATTTATATCTTTTTAATAAAACATATTTGACAAAAAAACTAGTAACACTTTGTTATAATTTTTTTACTTTTAACAAAAAGCAAATATTTATAAATAAAAAACTGTTTTTAAATATTCATCAAATAAGTTTAATCAAAATAAACTTGTATAAATATTTAGTATAACTAAAATTAAATTATTAATTAAATTAATTGTAGTTTAGTACTAAATATCTTTACATGTTTGACTAAATTTTTTTAAAATTGTATTACCAATTTTTATCTAACTATTTTATACAAGTTCAAGAATAAGGTTAATTCTTTATAGATGAAAATCTTTTGCTAGCTTTTTATTAATTCCAAAAATATAATAAAACAGTCTTAGTAATATACTAAAAAAACTTATTTTTTACTATTTAAAAACAAATAAAGTAAATTCAAAATTGGCAAAAATAATTTAATTTTATATAATACTGTATTTATATATAATACTTTTTTTATAAATAATTAATTAGACTAATTAGCAACAATCAGTACTATATAATGATTTAAATATTGTATTTTGTTATTAATATATATTATAGTTCTAATATAGTTTTTAACTAATTTTAAATTTTGCTTATCAAACTCAACTAACTAAAGTCTTTTAATAGATTGATTTTTTTTTTACTTTTCTATACTGTTATTATAATTATATGCTATTAATGCTTTTATTTTATCAAACTCATTAACAACTAAACACTTTTATAAAGCCTAATACAACTGTTATTCTAAATAAAAAATATTAAATATCTTTCTATAATTATTAATAAGATAAGAGAATGACAATTCTAATATAGTAGTCAGGTTGTCATTCTCCAAGTGGTAGGTCTAAAGTTCAAATCCCACCTATGATAAAATTTGGAAATTAATCTGTGTTATAGCAAACTGTCTCTTAACAATTAATTAAATTTGTGTATCTGTAACCTTAAGTTACATCATCTTAAATAAGAGCTCAGAGCATCTATGCCAAATATAACATTACACATACATAGAGAAATATTAATAACTGGTGTCATATAAGACTTTAGTGCAACCTATGATAAGACCACCAAGCACAGTAAACTAAGATACTGAAAAGTCAAAAGCCCACTTAGAAATTCCTAAGTAAAAAGGTAGCATAAACTTTTAATAATACAGTCAAACTGATGAAAGCTCATGAAACACCTTTAAAGAAATAGATAGATAAACTGAATGTCAAGATGTGTAGAGGAGCATATAACCAACCAGACTACTGGAATTGCCAAAGAAAAAGAATATGTAAGTATACCATACCAGGCTATCTAAATTGAAAGTTAGGTGAGTCTTGTTGGTTCTAAGTAGTAGTTAGTAAGAGATGATGAAGAAGATGTTATAAAATAGGTACTGGGGTTCTAGTGAACTTTACAAAAATAAAAATAGTTTAATGTAGCAGTTAAACAGATAACCTCTATGACTGCAAGTGTTAGATAACTATAGCATGTTACATAAAACTAGATTAGCTGTATGTGAGACACAAAAGGTTCTAATAAGTTTCTTGTTGAGAATAAATTAGTCCTAAGAGTCTCAAAAGCATCAGGTATTTTGGATAGGTGTAGTCCAGAAGATGTCTTTGTAATCACAAGTTAAATTACATATACAAAGAGTTTAAATAGGCAAGACCCATAGTTGGCTTGCAGGTATAGCACCTAGTATAGAATCTGTAAAGTAATATATAGGTGAACTACTTAAATTAGGCACCAAAAGTGCACATATAGTTAGTTGTAATCTTCTATGTATAGAAGCTCCTAAAAGCATTTGTGTCTAACTACTTGAATAAAAAAATCAATTACCAAAAACAGAACTTTAACATAAAAAAAAAAAATTTATTAATAAGATACTAACAAATTTTTGGTATCTTAATATTTGCTAAATGATAAATAGATATGCTATTATGTATTAGTAAAACAGACTAAGATTCTAAAATAGATTTTGCTATATATGTAACAAAATGTTTTGCATTAGATATTGAAACAGTATTTGGTCTTTGAAAATTAAGTAATAATTATCAATATTGTATATATAAAATTGATTTTTTGAGAGATAGAGTCTATAGCCTAATAGTTTAGGCACCTCTTCTTTTACAGACAAGATTAATAGTTTAATTCTAACTAGAGGCAAAAACTCTGTAATTTATAAAAGCATATGAATATATGCAAAGCTCTGTGACTAAGTCTATATAAATAAAAGATCAGTATATAAGGAAGTTTCTAAAAAGAAGTTTTCTAATATAGAAAGTTGATACTTGATGCAAAAAAAGTAAGAAACATATCAGAAATAGAGAAAAAATGCACTAGTAGATAATATAATAAATATAAAAGAAAGCTATAAAAAAGAAATAAAGTTACTAAAATTTGAACACTTTTGGTATTAAAATCAGTTTAGTAAATACAAAATATACTAAATTAGATCTAAAAAGTAATATTAGTACCATACTTAGTAAGTCTGTATCAAAAATAAATTTAAAAAAATATAAATACTTAGTAATATCCAATAAGATAATACTTTAATATAAATCTCTCTCTCATGTTGTATGATTCTTAGTTATGCTGTCATGCTTAATCTGTTTAATCTATGAAGCAGATTAAAAAAGATCTGCAAAGCAGATTAAAATTATCTACAAAGCAGATCAAGAGTAACATAGTGATATAGAAAATAAAATAATATATATATATACATATATATATATATATGTTATGTGTCAAATTAGAATAAATGTAGGTTTAAAACTGAGTTACATCAGATCGAAATTTAAATTTGAGATGTGTAAAATTAAATTTTTTAACTTGCATCAAATTAAAAACATAATTTATATATTAAGCAAAAAATAGTAAATAATTCTAATCATATAAATTATTTATACATATAATAAACTTGAATTTTGTTATTGCATATATTCCTATTGTAGTATTTACTTTTATATCCAACATTGGATTTTTTGCAACAACATTTATTAGTATTATAGTTGCTTTTACACTTGCACATTGTTCTTATAAGTATAACAGTATTCTGGCTTTGTGCTGCTTTCCTTATAGATACATAATCTGATGAAATATAATCCAACTCTGGATATTCTTTTATACCTAATGGTTTTATCTTACCTGTGCAATATAAATTATTCAATATATTATCTTTGCATTCAAGACAATATTTAAATATATTATTATAGCTTAACTTTTCTAAGACTTTATATGGAAGAATTGGTCAATCTGTACCAAATCAATCAATTTTAAGAATAAGAATCTTTATATATTCCTCAACATTATATTCTAATCTATGTTTTGATCTTGCAATCATTGCAGATATTATTTTGGCTGTATAACTTTCTAAATTTTGACAAGCAAAATCTCATAAAACTTGATGTTCTGTTAAGGGTTAATTTGATATATCTTGTAAAGATAGTGACTATATGTAAAAAAAAAATTAATACAAATTAATTTTAATATAACACCTGTTCACATGTAAACAAACAATAAATAACATGTTAATAAAATTTATAATAACTTACTGTTTTTTGGTTTTCATTATCTGGATTTAAATTTTAATTTAAATTTGTTAATCTGTTTAAAGACTCAATTTCTATTAAGAATATAGTATTGGTATCAGCCTTGTTAATAAAATCATCTAAATTACTAACTGATTCTTGAATATTTTCTAACATTAATTCAAATTCATTCAGAATTTCATTCTCAGAAGGAATACTTGTTTCAAACAAGCAATCAAGTGCTACAGAATGCCCATGTGAAGCTCTACCAAACACAAGTTCATAGGGCCTTTTATTATGTGCTCTGCAAATAAAGTTATTTATAACATAAATGACAAATCTCAATCTGAATAACTAATCTTGGCAGTTATTATCCTCTATCCATTTTCCTAGTTTTATTTCAAAAACACCATTTGCTTGCTCTACTAAGCCTTAACTTGCAGGATGTCTTAGTCTGCTATTAATAATTTGAATTATAGGCCATAAACGAACCAATTTAATAATTACTGAAGAAATAAACTCTTGCCTATTATCAGATTGAAGAATTAGTAGCAGACCAAATATTGTAAAAATCTTAAACAGAAAAGCTGCTATTTCTATTGTTTACTTGAAGGTAAGTACACATGCCCAGGAATATCTTGTAAAATGATCACACATGTGGACAATATATTTAAATTGATCATTATGTTTAAAAGTCATATCAACTAAATCAATCTATTTCAAATAAAAATTTATTATAATAACAATAATTATATAAATAATATATAATAATTAGTAATTAAGTAATAATAATAATTAAAGAATAATAATTAAATAATAATAAATTTACTTGTAATCATGACATGAATTTTTATTTAATAATTGGAATGCCAGTCAATAGTTGAACCCTTGTTAATCTTGTTGCACAAATATTATATTGTGCTACAAATTTTTCTACAAGATCTTATCAACAATATTCTTATTTATTGCTAATTTAACTCCATGTTTTCTTTTGACTAGCATGTTGAGTAACTGTTGCATGTATTTTGCAAAACTCATCATACATATTTTTTACAGCTAATACAAGAAGTTCAATCATGATTTTTTCATTATTTTTTTTATTTTGTATTCGAATATGAAGTAAAATATAAGAATCTCTGATTTGTTGTAACTTAAATTTATTTTTGACTCAGTAACAGAAAGTAGAAGTATACAATATAGTATTCATAGGGTTAAGAAGAATTTTCTTGATTTTTTGTAGTTTTTCTTAATCGATTAGTGCCTTCTCTTTCTTATTTGGTGCTAAACTTTTAATATATCATTTAACCAGATCATCAAAGGTTTGCTGTGAAATAAATGAATACTCTATAATAGTTTAATTCAATACAAAATACATATTCATTGCAAGAAAAAGAGTTAAAATGAAATAATTTTATTATTATATATTTTATTACATTTGTTATGTACATTTGGGTCTGACATATAAATGATAAATTAGTCTAACACAACTTGGATTAAAATTTTTGATCTGACACAACTCAATTTCAAATCAATGCTTCTTCGAATTTGACGCATGGCATATACATATATTGTATATATAATATACATATATATATATAGCTCTTATATTATGTAATTCTCTGTCAAAATCATGCATACATATGTATATATATACATATATAATATAAACAAAAGTAAATTATTAATTTGTTTTTTTTTTTGGTATTAAGGCGACCTTTTTGGTTTTTTGACTTTTATTAATCACTTATTGGTATTGTGGCTTAATGAATTACTACAGGAGAGCGTACAATTGACTACATATGTAACTTTTCTATATTACCTATTTAAGGAGTTCATCCAAAGGTTCTTTACTAATTGCTATACCTAACACTCCTGCTTGGATGTTTCACTTTAAACCCTCTGAACCTGTAATCTGTATTAACATCACTAGGTTATACCCAAATGCTCAGATCATTGTCTTAATCTTAGGACTAATTTATCCTTAAGGTAAATCTTCTAGAGCCTTCTGTACCTATTTTTACAGCTAATCTAGATATTGCTATAGCAAAACTAACACTTGCAGTCAGGACTAATTATTAAACTGCTATGCCCTTGTAGAGTTCACTTAGACCCCAGCATCTACTTCACAGCATAACCCCAGTACTTTAGTATACTCCTGCCTTTTCTTCTGCTCTTTTATCAAACTCCCAATTCAGATAGCCTATGTAGAACTATGACTAGTTCATCGGTATATTGAGTCAGCCCAATATTCTTTTCCTTCAGTTTATTTTGGCAGCCTGGTTGATGGTATTTCCAAGACTTCCCAACCCAAAGGTTCTTGCCCATCTGGTTACTAGGACCAGGTACTAGACCTAGATATCCATTTTGCCAAGCTAGCCTTTACAGTAGAACTGTCAAAGATCTAGCTACCTCTTTATTTGGGTCTTCCCAAATAGATTTCTTGTTATCTAATTTTAACAGATTTATATAGCTACGAGAACTTATCTAGTGTTTGCACCATCCAATATATCAGTTTGCATTTCTTTGTATAACTTCAACATTGCACAAATGCCCCATGACCTGCCAGTCATACTGATGTAACTACCATTACAGATATTCTAACTTAACTATTAGTAGCAGTTGCTATAATATGAATATTACATAGGTGATTATCCAAATTTTTGCTATCGATGGGATTTGAACACCCAACCTACCACTTGGGG